CAACCGTGCACGTGTTGCCTGTTCCACGAGGAGCATCACACGGGTGACTGGCCCAGGCGCCGCGCAACAAATCGAGAGCGAGAGCTGGCCAGGTCGGCTCAAACCGGACAGAAGGGAATGCGGCCGCCCTCGGGCGATTTTTCCTCGTTTGGCGCACCCCGAAGCGCCTCTGGCGCTGGCAGATGAAAGCGGTCATAAAATGTACGAACTATACTGGCGTGCGCTTGGTACGTGAATCAAGCTCAAACTGCCGTTGGGCACATGACCTGTATTCCTCCAACGCGATCGCCCTCTGGCGATCTCTATCCCCCCTGCGTGTCGACTTCCCACGCCAGCTACACACATAACGATCCTGGCAAGGTCAAATCTGGAGCCAGCATCGGCCTCGCCTGGCAGGGGTCGGCGCAGGTGGACGATTGGCGTTCCCCGATGACCAGCTGGGAAAGGGACGGGAGTGGGAATCCGGAGAAGAGGGGGTGAGGGACGATGAGGGAGGGAGGGGGGGAGGGGGAAGGAATGTGTAGTATGCCCCGCGGCAGGCACGCGCGCGCTTCGAACGGATCTGGCCGAAGCGGCCACAGAGGACCTGGAACGGGAGTAGGCAGCAGGAGTCGGAGGGACGAGGCAGACGACTCGTCGTCAAGCGGTGGCTCGGCGCGGAGCTCGTCCGGAATGACTCGAGTCTGCTCTTTCAACGCTCGCGCGGCAAATGTCAAGCCCGCTACCGCGCTGCGCAGCGTTGGGTGTGTCGGACCCCTTACCGCGAAGAAACAACTCACCCCCTGGCATCGAGCCCAACATGCGCCCAGCCGTTGTACCCAAAGTCCCTGAGTATCCTTGCGCCTTCCACACGCAAGCTGAACACAACAAAACCATTATGATGCGGGGCTTCATGGACCCTCCCCCTGAGCTTCCACCCCACCGCCCCCCACAGCGCAGTGGCGGATCCGCGCGGCAGCGCGACTGGATACAGGATACTCGCCTGCCACCCGTCTTCTGCACGCTCAGCGCTGACCAAAGTCTTATCAAGCACGCCATCCTCAAACGCCTTCTACTTGCTCTTGCTGTGACGCTTGCACAAGAACCCTCGTCTGCTATACTCGAGCAGCACTTGTCCGAAGCGTGCGTCGTACTCGTCTTCGTCGCACCGATCCCCTGGCACTCGTCCAGCCTTCTCTTAACACTGCCGCTTTGCTTGCTCGATATTCGCTCAATGCTCGCGCACATCGTCCATACACAATCCCATCCCAGGATCAGGTCAGTAACCCCAAACAGCCGATAATAAACCCCCTGGGATAATAAAGTTCGGCGGTTACGGTGCGAGAATAAAAGTATCCACCAGAGGCCAGCATAAAGATGTTAACAGAGGAGCCATAGCCGAGGATATCTTGAGACATCCTTGGCTTTTTGTCCTCTCTGAGACATCCTCAACAATGGCTTGTCTCGCTTGAGACATCCTCGACAAGATTTAGACACACATAAACAGAGATAAAGAGAAGACACGAGCAGGAGAAGGAGAGGAGGAGGAGGAAACAACAATCCATAATTCAAAACATAGTAGATGTTATGTGTAAGCGCTTAACGGAAATTAAGATGTTCATCTGCTCGTGTAGGGTAGCTCATCTGCCTCGTTTTCCCAGGATAGTCAACCACAGCGATGAAAAAGTTCAGGGGGGCACGGAAAGAAGGAGAAAGGTTGAGAGAGAGAAAGAAAGAGAAAGAGAAAGAGAGACAGAGGACAGATAGAGAGACAGAGAGAAAGAGAGAAAGAGGTTGAGAAAGAAAGAGAAAAAGATAGAGAGAGAGAGAGACGGAGAGAGAGAGAGAGGAGAGGAAGATGAGAAGGAGGAAGAAAAACTCCAAAACGTATTAGATGTTATTTGTAAGCGCTTAATGGGAATTAAGATTTTCATCTGCTCGTGTAGGGTGGCTCATCTGCCTCGCTTTCCCAGGATAATCAACCACAGCGATAAACAAGTTCAGGGCGCCAGGGGGAGGAGGAGGAGGAGGAGGATGAGGAGAGGAAGTAACCTCGATGGCGAACTTTTCACGGTGATAATGAAGTTCGGCCTCCGCGCCCCCGCGCCCCCGACCAAACTCGTATTGGCCGTGGATAATCAACTCTTATGTGTATAGGGGGGGGTACATTATTATCGTGGGTATGGGGTTATCGAATTGGGAAATCGGATCGGATCGGGACGTGCGTCGGACAAGCCTGCATCGGCTCGGATTCGAAATCGAGTCGGAACGGCCGCAAAAGGACACTCAACAGCGCCATGCAAGCATCGGATCGCACTCGACCGTCGGAAAATCGGCATCGAATCGGATCGATCGAACCGGATCGATCGGATCGAAACGAACCCTGCACCGCTTGCCTGCCGCTGCCCTCTCCCAGACATCTGGCGATATAACTTGACCAATCCGCGGGCCCCCAGACCAATCTCGACTCCTTCCCCCTTGACCAATTTCTCCCCGGGGATAAGTTCATTACGGCCCCGGGGCCAAAGAACAGCGCGCGAAGGTCGAAAGCGAAGGAAACAACGAAACAGCAACTTCAACAACAGATTACACAAACGACCAAAACAACGAAAAGCTGTGTTGGAAAACTCGGCCCCAGGCAGGGTTCGGCGGTTCAAAGATGGGGCACCGAGGGATGAGGCTCTGCGAACGAGTGGCCTCAATCAGCCTAGATTCATCCTGAGATCCCTCTCCCACCTCAATGGGGATAGGGATGGTTAAACGATGCTCAAAACCCTGAGATCCGATGTCACGAAAAAATGCAACATCGCCCACCTTCACGACCCGAGCTCTAGACCCCATCTTTCTGCGGCATCTTTCGAGCAGGATCGATCTGTGGTGGTCCTGGGGCCCGAAATCGAGCGAAAATGCCCGATGTGGTTAGATTTCAACGCCTGGATGTGAAGGGGGAAGGCCATCCCGACCGGGGCCCCACCTTTGAAAAGCCCACAGGAGGTGGGCAGGTGGCCACATTCGAACCCTGCCCCAACCAACCATCGATTATCCTGAACCGACGGGAGGCGAGCGTGGGGTTCGGATTTCGCCGCGTGCCCATCGAATTGGGGAGACCGAAAGGTACCACTACCGCTACTCCCCAGACCTCTCCCAGGGTGCGTTCTGACCAGAATGTCGAGGCGAACGAGGGCCTCCCAGGCCCCAAAAGTGGGAAAACGGGCGAACAGGGCAGCAGTATGGGTACCTGCTCCTCCTCTGACGAAATGCCTGCATCCTCGATCCGCGAGGGCAGGGTTCGGACTTCGCCGCCGCGTAGGTAGAAGAAGGAAAACTGCACAAAACAGAAACTTCTGGTGCTCCGCACGCATTTCATGGATCCGCGCGCCAGGGGCCAGAGGGGCCCAGCGCGGATCCAAGAAGTCAGCGCGGAGCGCCCAAAGCTTCTGTCGATGCAGACGTTTCTCCTTCGAGTGTCGGCGGTGGACAAACCTCCCTTCAGTAAACCGCCTTTAGCGAAAACGGCCTGGGACCGAAACCGACGGACCTGGACCCGCAAAAATGGCGGCCGCGACGCCCTCTCGCGAACCAAAAACGGCCGATTCGCTAATCGACGTGTCAGGGCAGGAGGCCTATCAACCTCCGAGAAAGGGGCCCCCGACCTGCGCCGGCCCACGGGTCTGGGCCCGGCTGCGCCCGGCACGGCGCCCTCGGCGCGGGCGGCCGCGCCGCCGGCGCCTCTCGTGCGCGGGGGAGGGAAGCGCCCAGGGCGCGGCACGCCGAGGAGCCGCCCGCGCACGAAGAGGGGCTCCCCAGCCGAGCCCAGGCGCTCCCCGGGGGGTTGCAGAGCTGAGACGAGGCCAGGACGAGGACAACTTCGAGTGAGGGGAAAAAAGAGAATCTCTGAGCTCTAGCGGCTTTGGAGGATGTCTCGAGAGCCGCTGCTGCCGTCTCAGAGCGCTCTGGAACGCTCTGAGAGCGTTCCGGAACTGATTCATCCTCGTCCTAGCCCCGCCCGAGTTGCAGAGCCCCTGGGATTCGTGCAAGCTTGGCCCTGGGGCCAGCACAGATCGATCCGGCTCGAAAAATGGCGCTAAAAGATGGGGTCTAGGGGTCTGACAGGAGAGCCCAGAATGGAATCGACAAGTCGAATCGGCGATCCACGTGAATCGGATCGACGGAAATCGGCAGCCGAGTGGGGAAAAGTCGAATCGGCAGACACCGGCAGGCTAGTAGGCTTCCCTCGAGAAATCGGATCCCAATTCGGAACCCGAAGTCGAACCGAATCGGAATCGGAATCCACCGAAGTCGAAGAATCAGATCGGAGGCATCGAAGTGAGCACTGGCCTGGTCGTGTTTTTTGGTGACATCGCAGTTTGTTCGCTGCGTCATGGGGCCCAGGGACGTACAAATGAACAGACACACTGCACTGGCTTCACCATATGCTTTCATACATTTTCTGGGTTTTCGTCTTCCCCCACTTGCTATCTTTTATCCTACTTCCCTGGCAGTCGACGCTTCATTAAGTCTGCATGTTTTGTCCCCTCCGGGAAGGAGGGAGGCAGAAGAACTCAGGGGTCGGCACGAAGGTGGGCGGGCCCCGGGTGGCCGCGGCCGAGTGGAGGTGCTGCGTGTCTGGCCCGAGAGCCCCCTCTGCTTCGAGGACCGAGGATCGAAGATCGAAGGATCGGAGGCGACCCCGCGACGCCAAACGCTTGCCCATCCTTTCGGGCCCCGGGACCCTCACAGATCGATCCGGCTCGCGAGATGGCGCAGAAAGATGGGGTCTAGGGCTCCGGGTCGCGAGATGGCGCAGAAAGATGGGGTCTAGGGCTCCGAGCGTGACTTTGTGAGCGATGTTGCAACTGTTTCGCTACGTCGGACCTCAGGGGAGGAGGGGGCCCGTGGGCCCCTGCTCCGATGATTCACAGAACTGGGCAACCACAAGGGAGCCCTACCCTGCAGGTTATAGGTTTCTGCAAAGAACGGGCGGGGGTTCGGAGGTCGAAGGATGCCTGCAACCAGGTGAAACCCCCCGGGGGTGTCTGATACTCCAGCATCGATTGGGCCCGCTGAGATAAGGTTCGCCAATGGTCGCAGAAGAACCCCTGTAGCAAAACGCCCTTTAGTGAAGGGTGCTAGGGGAACTCCACGGGGGCGCGCGGCACCGCATCCCGAGTGCACGTGGGCGGGATAGCTGACGGTCGTTCAAAAACTGCCAGACGCTTCCGACAACACACGCGTGGAAATGAGCGAGACCGACGAGGGCCGGCACTGGCACACAGCGGATGCCAATGTCGAGTGGACCGGTGCATGACTCCTCCTTCGACTCGTCGGGGTGGGCGCTCTCTCGATGCCCGACTGTTGCCCATCGGCCTTGGGAGATCTTCGGCTGTCTTCGGCGGACCTCTGACGGCCTTCGGCGGTTCCCGGCAGTCTTCGGCGCTTTCCTGGCGGTCTTCGGCGCGAAGGCCGGATGGTTGCGTTCCCTGAGCTCCGACGTCTCGAAAAATTGAGACGCCGTGAAAAATCGCGCTTGGAGCCCTAGACCCTATCTTTCTGAGCTATTTGTCGAGCTGGATCGATATGTGAGGGTCCCAGGGCCCTAAACTATAAGAAAACGCGTGGCTCAAAGGAATTGAGTCACCAGGATCTCAGGGGTTGTGTCGAAGGAAATCCACGATCGAACGCCTACGAGACGGGCTGTCCCGAATATATGGCTCCTAGGGCCACGACGGCACGACGCAGGCCTTGTGCCACGGAGGGGGCCCTCGAGGCGCCGAGGGGACGGCCCCTGGCACCTTGTGACAAACAAAAATCAGAACCCCTAACCTTTTGGGAGGGGATCTAAGTTAGGAGGGCCAGAAACACTAGGGATAGGGGGTCCTTTCTGCAGACCTATCGAACCAAACCGCCCAGATCGATTATCACATCGACTATCCTGAATGCAAAGACGGGGACCTGAGTGAGGCCACGTCTTCACTATGTCATTCATTAGGCTTAGGGTTTTTATCCTCGATGATCATGAGATGGACCCTCTGGCACTTGAGATCCTGAGCATCTGGCTGCTGCAGGCTCGAGGCCGTCAGTCCACTTGAGGAGGATTGTAGCCTGGTCGGGGTCGGGGTCGGTCCAGCGCCGATCCAAGAGGTCCACGCGGCTCTCCGACATTTTATGTTTGCGCAGATGCTGTTTCTTGATATTCAGCATATTCATATTATTCGCATCCGTATTCTTACTAATATCATTATGACGACGATAATTACAGCTATTAATAATAAGGATAAGAATCGTACGCATCCTAATACTAATAATACTATTCGTACTACGAGTATTATTATGATGGACTCGGCTATGCATCAAATGCTGCCTCGCAGTTCCTGTGAACGCCGATGGAACTAGTGTACATAAGTGCTGCAAAGGTTGTCGAAATGAACGGGCATTTTCATGCATGACCCGATGCTCTCCACAGTTCGGGAGAAACTGGAATCGTGCAAGATGGTGAACAGCGTGAGCACTTTGGATAAGCCTGCCAACTCTGCAGCGAAAGATTCATCGAGACGGGGGTCAGAAAACCCTCCGAAAGCAAGAACTCTCCAGCCTTGCTCCTGGGACCCTACACGCATCAAGAACCCTCCTGCGCTGAGGCCGGGATGTCTCCAGCCCCCGTCAGAATGCATGAGTACATTATGTGGATTCGTGACTAAACTGTACCAGTCAGGGGACAAGCATAAAACATCCGTCCGGGTATCCATCGCGAAATTACACAAGGCATCGGCTTCCGCGTTTTCGTCGCGCGGCCTCCACACTATTGGAGCACCCAGGGGTTCAGGGGAACCCACCCACCCATGAGGGAGTGCAAAAACAAATCGGCTACACTATTCAGTTTCTGGATGTTCTCCCAATGTACAAAAGATTCCCCTGCGAGCGCCTGGGCGAGGGGTTGGTTGTCCACGACGCAGAGGAAGGCAGAGGAGGAGGAGGGGGAGGGCCAAGGACAAGAGAGAAGAGGGGTACAGGGTCGGATGCTAGAAAAAATCTGAGATAGAGGGAACGGGGTCGGCTCACTGATGACTTGTTTTCTGACGTCAGGCTCACGTGGGTTCAACTCGCCGGTGTTTGTGGACCCACGAAGACGTTTTACCATCGGCCCGTCGGTCCCCAAGCGTTGCGTTTGACCACTGCTCGATTCTGCGCGACTCCTCTTCTGACCCCGGCGTCTCGACTTTGAGTTGTTTTCGAAGTTATCTCCCCCAGCTGGACGCGACGAAGTAGCTCGCCTGGCGGCGTCGATGGCCATGGCGAGTTCCCGATTCCATCGGGGCAAGTTCCATGCGCAACACACCTGATCGATGAAATCTGACTCGGTACGTTTCCAAGCAAAAGCCCCATCAGAGACGATGTCAATCCACTGCAGAACATGCTGGTCCCAGAAATCTTCAGGTTGAGGTGGTGGTGGCCCTGGGCGACGGCATCTCCACTCCCCGTTCACATCTCGACGCACAGCTTCGGAATGGAGAGCCTCGCTTTGACCCACCACGTGCGCACCCCGCCTGTACGTAGACAAGGCTCGCAAAGGAAATTCTGGCTGGCCCGACCGAGAAGTTCCCCAAGACCACTCGTAAGACTTGATGCGCCATCTGTGAGCCCGGCGGAGCCACTGATGATGTGCCTGGGGGACCCCCCAAACAGCCAATCGACTTTCCAATAGACCAGCGGTCCTGATGTTGTATGCTTGGACACCTTCGTGGGGGCGGAACTAGGAGGAGTCGGCTTGCGGGGGGGGTCGGGCGCGCGGGAGGCGGGCGGAGGCGTCGCCGGCGCCCCGCGCCCCCGGGGGGCTCCATGTGGGATTTCCCAGGCTGCGCCAAGTGCGCGCACGCGTTACTTGCCCGCGCGCTCACATTCGCGCAAGCGCATCCTAAGAAACTACGATTTGGATCGGAAGCGGGCGACAGCGGGCATGGGGCGCCTGTCAACGCTGCTTCTGGGAAGCGATTGCTGCTGGCTCGACGCGCGCGATATGCATGTAACGACTTTTGGAGGACGGGCGCTGCGCCGTCCAATCCAACGCGGCAATGGCGCGGCCCGGGGCGCGCGGCCGTCGCGGCGCACGGCGGTCGACGTGATCGCATGGGGCGCGCGATCGGCCGCGCGGTATTTGCGGGCCATTCGGCCGACGCTGCCAGGTCGCCCTCAAACAGCCCGCCAGGAATACGCAAATGCGCAATGCGCCAGCGCGCCGCCAGGATATCGCCCTGAAAAACAACCTGTTCACTCTGAACGCCGACTGCGCGCCTCGCTGAACCAGCGAAGTCGCGCGGAGCGCCCACGTCGCGGACCCGCCGCAATGAACTCGCGGGAAAAAGGCATCTCCCCATGGGTTCTGGCACCGATTCTGGCCTACTTCCCCGTTCTGGCCGATTCTGGTTCCATCGCCGATTCCTCCTTTGATTCCGTATTGATTCCGTACTGATTCTTCTGATTCCGCTAGAATCAGGGGTCGCAGTTGTGCCGATTCTGTTTTGATTCTGCACTGGTTCCGTACTGATTCCTTTGATTCCCCTGTGCCCCGGGGGCCATCAGGCCGCGGCCCGAGCCCCCGCCTCGGCGGCATGGTTTTTCCAGGAGCGCGGAAGAGTTTTGAGGGGGAGGGGGGCGGGGGGGGAGGCGGAGCGGTTTTTGGAGCGCATCGGGCGGCCGAGCCGCAGATTTCCAGGCCCAGTGCGCACGCCCAACATGGCAGGCGCGGGCGCGCGCGCGAGTTCTCGACCGTCGGCGCACGTGTAAGTTCACGCCCCGCCCCGCGCGCGGGAATGGAAACTTGCGCTGCGGTTTCCCATTGAACGCGCGGCCGTCGCCCCCCATGCTGCCCAGCGCGAAAAGCGCGCGAGAAGCATGGGGGGCTTTGCGTTCGCGCATGAGAAGTGCGCGGAACCGAACCGAACGGTCGGCGGCGCCCGCTCCTGCGCCGCGCGCGAGGCCATCGCGTCAGCGCGGGAGGCTACAAGGGCCTGGGCCGTCGCCCTGGGGCGCGGGCACAGCGCGAGGCCCGCGCGGGTCTCTCGCGCCAAACATGCGCAACAAGGTCGGCCCGCCCGCCGGCTGGCGCTCGCGGGCGGCGCGACGCCGGCGCCGACTGCGAGGCCGACTGGGCCCGGAGGATTCCTGAGAGCCCCGGGAAGGGGCAGCGGGCCGCGATGGAATCGGCGCGGTCGTTGGCGCCCCCCCCGCGCCCGCCCCCCCCCTGCAAGCCGACTCCTCCTAGGCGGAACTTCAGACGGAACGCTTTGCGTAAGTGCTGGTCCTCCCAAGCTCGGGCAGAGCGCAATCTATCCGCGGTGGGGTACCACGACTGGCAATCATACAACAGTGATGAACAAAGACCTCTACCGAAAGCGCGGGCCTTCGCCTCCCAACTCGCGCGCCTGCTGTAAATGTGTTTGTGTTATTTCCCCATGTTCCCCTCCGCCTTCAGATGCCGATAATCCCAAGATGAGTTTGTTCCCCCCTCCCTCGACAGCGTGGTGCCCAGAAGAACAGCACGATCGACGACTGGAAAAAACTAATGGACCTTGCAACCCAAAGGGAACATTCACGTCTTTTGGCGGCGTGGCTACCCCCATTCCACACAAAACAATACTCTCTTTCATCTTGATGTTGAAACCATGCTGATGCAAATGGTCGATGGCCTGAGCCATCATAGATTGAAGCCGGCCCACAGACCGGGCGCAAAACACCAGGTTGTCCGCCCACGCAAGAAGCGTCAGCAAGAGTGACTCCACCTCTGCTCCGATGGATTGGGTTTCCCATGCGGCAATGATCGGTGCAAAAATGTACGACAGCACGACGTTGAACAACATTGGCGCGTCTACCCCGCCCTGCCGCCCCCCCCTTGCGGTACGGAAAGGCCCCGCTGGATCCTACCCCTGCGATGTACATGTCTCCTTGCAGTTCTGTGAAGTCACGTAGTACCGCCAGCGCTAGAGTGCCCGGAACGCCTAGGTGTTGGAGCGCGTCTAGGATCAGCTGGTGCGGCATGCTATCGAAGGCGAACTCGATGTCGAGAAAATCGAAAACGCATGGGTGTTTTTTTTGTACCGATGTGATATACCCAGCACTCGCCTAACTATATCTACCATGTGTAGCGTAGGGAGCCCAGGAGAGAACCCGAACAAACGCACGCGAGCCTTTCGAAGAAACCGGCGAACAGCAAATCCAACAGATCTCAAATACCACTTCTGCACGTTAGGCGTCTTAGCGATGTATATCCATTCGGCATAATTTTGGGGCGTACGAACTTCGGGGATCCCAGTCATGTCAACGCGCTTCCAAAAATCACCCCCCCCATCCCCAGCTACGAAATAAGCAGTAAAACGCAAGAACAGTTCCACCACCGCCAAGAAAGGCAGGGACTTGATCATTTCTCCAACCAGACCGTCTCTAGCAGGCGCGGTGCTGGTTAACATGGCCCCTCTTGCTGCCAGAAACTCCATGAATCGGAAACGTTCCGACCCTCGACTCGCGAGCTTGTGCCCATCGACTCTGGACGCCTCGGCCCAGCCACTGAGGACCTGCAGCCGGCGTTGTTGGTGCTCCACGCCGTTGGTTTCGCCCGCGCACCGGCTACGACCGAACTCGCGCAACAGCAGCGTCCATTTAGAATGGTCTCCGCATTGTTCCCCAAACTGGTGCTGCAAGGGAGGCGGTACGGGACGAAACGAAGGAAGTTGATGGAGAGTCCACTCTTTTTGACAATTTATTTTACTCAAAACTAGATCACTCTGGACTCGCTGCCGCTGGCGCGCCATTTTGTTCAGACGCCCCCTTTTTTCTGGTTCGCTCACGCCCGCGCGGGATTCGGCCCGCACCTCGAGTCGCAGCCCTACTTCGTCTATCGATCTCTGCTTGCCCTGCCATCTCCTCAATCCCAAGCTTGTATAAGATATTTCCGTAGCTGCTACTCCAATCATCCCCTCCCAGTCCCTGATCGAGCAAGCGGGGTCGTCGGCAGGCTGCAAGCTGGGATGCTTGAAAAACATGTTGTGCCTCAAGCACCTGCTCTGGAATATATTCGACTGCTCGCTATCTGTCGGGCTCCACCCCCGGTGCGAAAAAAGCCGGGACTGGTACTGCATATGTGTATCATGAAAATGAAGATGGACTTTGATCATTGCGTGGTCGGATCGAAGAGTCAGTTTCTTCTTCTTCTTCGAATGATCTCTCAATTCCCACTGCCCTTCACACCCCTTCCCCGGTATGGCTATGTAGTCGATCTGCGATCGGTGCCCGCGAGTGTTTTTCCACGTGTACTTCGTGTCTTCCGTGTTCGAAGTGCCGTACTCCAAAAACGTGTTAATGAGTACGCAGCCCCTGGCAATGAAAAACTTGGATGCTCTAGCTATCTTGGTTGCTAGGTGGCCGTTCTTTGGCGGCCCCACCCAGCATCCGGTAAGGTCAGGCTGATCAGCAGGCATAGTAAGATTCAGATCTCCACCTATCACCCACTTGGTCACTCGAGGATTTGTTCGCTCCCACTCGCAGCAGGTTGTTTCCAAAGCGTGCATCGCATGTTCCCAAATGCTGTTTGCCCGTGCATCGTTCCCTGGTACTAAATGCATATTTATGTATCCGCAATTCGAGCACTGCAACATGCTGAAATATGTGCCAGATGATCGTCTGTGAATCTGGTCTCGCCACGTCCCTGGGACTGCTATCGCACAGTCCTCCCCAAAACTGGAGGACACCATCCACCCCGAGAAGAAACCCTCTTCCCACTGTGGCACCTCTTGGAGGAAAATGACAGACATCTTCTTCACGATCTGTGACACACACTTGAAAAACTTACCCCTGTACACAGCCGCTTTGTGCCGTAAATTCGCAGTGATAGCCCACAACTCTGTGAGATCTCGAATCGCCGGTTCCATTCGGCACCGCTGTTTCCGCATAGCCATCGTCAGTTGCTCGCGGCTCCAAACCAATGTGGCGAGCGCCTCAGAATCCCAGACAACCTGGGATGAAGAGTCGATGCACGCCACTGGGATTGCCTCCTCGTCCAGCTTGCCCACGGAGATCGAGAAGCTCTTCAGCCAGTCCTCGGTGATGACGTGGCCGGTCTTGGCGGCCTTGTCGCGGATGACCTCGGCCAAGCTCCCGAAAGCGCGGTACCTCGCCATCCTCACGGGGTGTTGCTCCACCCCCACCTTGGGCCACAGGTCTTCTCCCGTTGCAGACTTGAGCGCCAGGTTGGACGCGACCATGGTCTCGACGAACTGCTGCTTCACATTGTGCAGCTGGTCCGGGGCCACCGGGATCTCCGCCTTGTAGATGTTCTCCGTGGTTCGGACTTTGAGCCCTCCCATGGGGCTTGCTGCCGGCCCCATAGCCTGTTTGACTCCATCGAGCCACGTGCGCAGAGTGCTGAGTCCTATCTTGTGTTTCTCCTTGTCTTTGAACTCGCAGACCCTCACCAATATGTTCGAAGGTTTCCAATCTCCGGTTGCTGTCACTCCGCTTGCTGCTGACGAACTTGCGTCGATCATCTTCTTCTCAAGGTCGCTCACCCGCGCCTCGAGCTTAGTTGCTCCATCTTCCAAGGCCTTGAACCTCGGCTCGTGCTCTTCGCGGATTCTGTCCACGAAGCGGTCCATGTTCAAGGTCACCCTGTTGGTGTAAAGGTCAAGCAGCTCCTTGGTGCCGGCCGGCATCGCCGTAAGCACGCGTTCCTCTTCCTCCTGCATCCTCTGGCGATCTGACTCGGTCATGCGGCGTTTCGATTCTGCTTCTGAATCCCCCATCGGCGATCACAAATTGGAAAGGTGAGAAGTAAGGAAGAAAATGTGGAGAGGAGGCCTGGGCGCCTCTCCAACTCGCAAGCTGCAGCGTAGCAAAATGGCTTGAGCCAGAATGGCCTTGAGCCGTACTGCGGCCGAGGGAAAGGGAGCAAAGACATCCTGAAAAAACTAGTGGTCTGGGCCCTTTCGCTTGAGACATCCTCACAACTCTCGTTTTTGAATTGTCTGGGATTGGCCGTCTCGCCTGAGGCATCTTTGAAAATCTGGGCTCCAGGACGCCGCGCGCGAGGTGGTCCAGGCCACTTCGCCTGAGACATCCTCGAAACTCTAAGCCCCGAGATGCCGTGCAAGGGGTGGTCTGGCGCGTTTCGCTTGGAACATCCTCCCAATTCCACGCTCCGAGACGCCGCGAAAGAGGTGGTCGGGTGCGTTTCGCCTGAGAGACATCCTCACAACTCTAAGCTCCGAGCTGATCCAGCAAGCGCGTTTCGCTCGAGACACCCTCGCAACTCTGAGTTCCTAGATGCCACGCGAAAGCTGGCCCCGCGCATTTCGCCTGAAACATCCTCGCAGTTCTGCGTGGCGAGCTGTCGCGCGCGAGGTGGTCCAGCACGTTTCGATTGAGACATCCTGGCAACTCTGAACTCCGAGCTGCTTTGCGAAAGGTGGTCTGGCGCCTTTCGCTTGAGACATCATTGCTCCCCTCAGTTCCGAGATGTTTCGCCTGAGACATCCTTGCAACCCTGAACTATGAGAAAATGTGCGCAAGGGTGTGCGGCCCCCGTTTTGCTTGAGATCTTCTCGCAACTCGGGGCTCCGAAATGCTGCGGGCGAGGTGGTCTTGCCCGCTTCGCCTCAAACATCCTCGAAACTCTGGGCTCCGAGAAGGAGGAAAAAGGAGGGAGGAAGAGTCCGACCCAATCGAACCATATGCCGAAACTTATGTTGTCGAATTGCGCTCTGGGAGGAGTCTGGGCGCCGCCTGAGACATCCTCGGAACTCTGCGTTCCCAGATGTCGCACGCGAGGTGATCAAGCCTGTCTGCTCCCCGCATCCAAAGTGGGGTTCTTGTTGTCGCTGGACACCTCGCGCAGGAACCTCACCTCACCTCACCTCCAACCCCTCTCCCCTTCACTCACCATCCTCAGTATCATCAGCATCACCACTCATGGTCACTACTCATCATCATCCTCATCATCGCCACCATCATCATAATCATCAAACTCATTGACATTCACACGATTAGCATCCTCATCATCAACCACATTATCATCATTCGACCTATCATCATCATTAGCACATTCAACATCATCATCATAAACCAGCATTGCCACTCATCATCATCGTCATCCTCCTCCGAATCGTCACCATCATCATCACTTGATCACCGACTCACTCACCATCATCATCAGCAGTCACTCACTCACTCACTCATTCCCTTACTCACTCACTCACTCACTCACTCACTCACTCACTCACTCACTCATCACTTCGTCGTCCCTCATCCCCTAGCTTGAATATGCATGAAGTCTCAAGCGGGAGTTTCGCCTGTGAGTGAATTGTGGGGAAAATCTCAGGCCGAAACCCCCTCCCTATGGGTCCCGCACTTCATGTTGGCAATCCGAACGGGTCATCCGAAACGTGTGACTGTCGTCACTGTTGGGCTCCTCATGCCTGTATTTGGTGGAAGTGTCAAGCGGGAGCTTCGTCTGTGAGTGAATTGCGAGGAAGTCTGAGGCGGGAGCTCCCTTCCTACGGGTTCCGCAGTTCACGTTGGCAATCCGAGCGTTTCGTCCGAAACGTGCAACCACCGTCAATTTTGGGCCCCTGGCGCCTGAACTTGGGGGAAGTATCCAGCGGGAGCCTCGTCTGTGAGTGAGTTGTGAAGAAATCTCAAGCGGGAGCCCCCCCCCCCCATGGCTCCCGCTATTCGGGCCAAAACTTAAGCCTCCAGCGCCTGGCGCGGCGACTCTCCGCCATGACGGGTCCCGCACTTTATGTTGGTAATCCGAGCGGGTCATCGGATTCCTGTGACTTTCGTCACTTTTTGGGTTCCTCAAGTCCTGCGGCGTGAATACGGAGGAAGGGTCCCTCAGCTCCTGCGGCCAGAAAGCGGGAGAATTAAAAGTATCAAGCGGGAGTTTCGTCTGTGAACGAAGTGCGAGTAGCCTCGTCTGAATTGGTCGTCGGCAAACTTGTTGTTGTCGTGGACCTGCGTGCCCAAAAGGACGACTGAGGTACTGACGACGACGACGACGACGACGACGACGACGACGACGACGACGACGACGACGACGAGACAGCGGCCGGGCGCAAGAGAGCCCCTTGTGTCCGGGCCGGGGGTGGTAACCCATCCTCGGCCGAATCGGGGGCAAGGGTAACCCCTTGTCTCGGGCCGCCGGTGGTCACCCATCCGCGGCCGAATCGGGCGCAGGGGTAGCCCCTTGCGTCCAGGCTGGGGGTGGTAACCCATCCTCGGCCGAATCGGGGGCAGGGGTAACCCCTTGTCTCCGGGCTGGCGGTGGTAACCCATCCTCGGCCGAATCGGGGGCAGGGGTAACCCCTTGTCTCCGGGCTGGCGGTGGTAACCCATCGTCGCCCGAATCGGGGGCAGGGGTAACCCCTTGTCTCCGGGCTGGCGGTGGTAACCCATCCTCGGCCGAATCGGGGGCAGGGGTAATCCCTTGTTTCCGGGCTGGCGGTAACCCATCGCCAGCCGAATCCAGGGCAGGGGTAACCCCTTGTCTCCAGGCTGGCGGTGGTAACCCATCGTCGGCCGAATCGGGGGTAGGGGTAACCCCTTGTCTCCGGGCTGGCGGTGGTAACCCATCCTCGGCCGAATCGGGCGCAGGGGGAAACCCTTGCGTCTGGGCCGGCGGTGGTAACCCATCGTCAGCCGAATCGGGCGCAGGGGGAAACCCTTGCGTCCGGGGCCCGGGTGGTAAACCATCCGCGCCCGAAACCAATCCCTCCACAAAACATGCCTTGCGTTCTCGTGGGTAAGGGGCCACTAACGCCAAGTTTGTTTTGGCTTTTCTTCGACCATGGGGGTCGCGTCCTGTTTTCGGCCCCGGGCGCCGCTTTTTTCTATCGATTATATAGCAGGCTTTTATATGTATTCATGCTTGGAACGCCAAGGATCTCATCATCATCATCATCAGCATCATCATCCTCGTCCGGAGGAGGAGGAGGAGGAGGAAAACCGAGGACAGAAGATGGAGGACGGAGGACTGAAGACGGTGGAGGGAGGACGGCGGACGGAGGACGGAGGAGGGAGGCCAGTGGACGGAGGGCCCTCGCAATGCCATCTCCTCTCGTCGTCGTCATCGTCGTCGTCGTCGTCGTCGTCGTCGTCGTCGTCGTCGTCGTCGTCGTCATCGTCGTCGTCGTCGTCGTCGTCGTCGTCGTCGTCGTTGTCGCCGCCGTCTCTCTCGCCTCTCTTGCGCCTCTCTTTCTGTGCCCCCATTTTTGCCGCCAGTTGGCCGACTAACCCTCGGGCCGGGGGATCCCAAAAACCCCACGACGTTGGCCCTCCCAACACCCACGCGCAATTCCCGCGAAAAGTGACGCATTTGCTCCTGCTGGGCCAGGGCGGCTCGGGGAAGACGCACGCGGTGCAGAAGGTCGTCTTCCCAGTGGTGGAGTATTTGCGGCCCTCGAAGGCGCAGGACAAGGGCGCCATGATGGTCGTGGCCTCCTCGAACGCGCAGGCGGAAAACATCTCCACGGAGACTGCGAAGGCTAGAACACTGCACAACGCTTGTGCCCTGCGAGTCCAGAAGCACATCAACGCGAAGATGAGGCCGGGGGGCATGCAGAACAGGTTGGAGTGGCTGTGGGAGCACGTCCGCGTTCTGGTCATCGGGAAGGTGAGCATGGTGGCGGCAGCTTTGTACAACGCGCTGGACCTTCGCGCCTGCCATGGACGCACTGACACGCACGACGTGCAGGAGTTCACCTACAAGCGGCCGCACCACCACTTCGGACGCGTCCCCATCGTGCTGCACCTCGGCGATCTTTGCAGCTAGTCCACCGGCAGCATCGGCCTCCTGACAGACGTGAACGAGCGCCTGGAGGACGGGCGCACGCACAAGTACGCGGAGCCGCCGACGGTGGAGATCCAGCACGACATCAAGGTCTTCTCTCATATCCCCTGCGTCTTCGAGCTAAAGGGCACGAAGCGTTTCGAGCCCGGGGACCCTCTGATCACGTTCATGGGCTGCACGCGCGAGGGCAAACCCTTCCCACCGGAGGTCTGGTCCGCCTGGGAGAAGACGTTGGCGTCGGACAACCGCGGCCTCCTGGACCCTCGGTACCAGCACGAGATTTTTCGGCGCGGCTACGGCATGGGCACCTACTGCGAGACGCTGGCGAGGTGGATCCACGCGCGCGCTCGTCGCGACGCGCGGAGCCTGGGCGTGCCCCTCGTTTTCTTGCAGGCCGTTGACGAGTGCGGCACGATTCCAGGCGATCCCGACGCGGGTCGGCGCCTCCTGAACGTCCCGAACATGCACAAGACGGGGGACATCCACGGCGTCTTGCCGGCCCACGTCGGCATGGAGGTGCGCTTCACGGCAGCGCAGGAGGAGCTGAAGAAGAAGTTGGGGTTCCTGCAGGAGCAACGGGCCACCATCGTGTCCTTCGAGTTCCACCGCGATGCGCGCCGGGCCAGCTCTTTCGCCCCCGCTCCCTACCGAAGGGAATCTGGCTGCAGGCCCACGGCTTTAAGAAGTCCCCGATATACACGGACGTCGCCGAGCTGCTGCTGCCGGGCGCCGAAGGCGCCGTTGAACGCCGCGAAGCCGAGGCGCGGGCTCGGAGCTTGCTGGTGTTCAGGCCCAGCGCGCAGGAGCTCACGTGGCAGAGCTCGGGGCCGCACACCGTGCGCCGCTCGGAGTTCACTCTGACTCACGCGTCCTACCTCGTTTCCACGCTGTCGCAGGGCCAGACGCTGCGCAAGGGCGTCACCATCGACTGCGCGAGGGACGAAAACGCTGGCCGCACGGGCATGTCGGACGACCAGTGGTGGCTGCACCTCTACGTCATGCTCTCCCGCGCCACGCGCATGCCGAACATGCTGATCCTGCGGACGCCCCCGCGCGACCTCCTGGAGCGAGGGCCGCCAGCGCCCTTGTGGAAGGCGCTCGAGGAGTTCGATGAGAAAGCGAAGACCTCCAGAGATGAGGCCGAGCAGCTCGCCGCGAAGCTTGGCGTCGTGCTGCCTCCCGCCTGAGCGCCGCGGCGCGCAGCTTGAGGCCCGCGGGGTTGTCCCAACGGTTTGGGCCGCGAGGTTGTCCCGACGGCCTGCCCTCGCGCCCCAGCGGCCCGCGGGATTGCCCCAAAGGCATGGCCCGCGGGGTCGCCCCAATGGTTTCGCGATCTAGCCGTCGGCGAACGCGCGCGCGCGCGCTGGCCGAGGCGGCGACGGCGCCGAGGAAAATCGACTTGCTTGCCCCGACCAGGGGGAAGGGGAGGTGCACAGAGAGAAGCGGCAGGAGGAAGATGAGGAGGGGGGCAGGGGTAGGGGGGAGCGATGATGAGGAGGAGGTGGAGAAGGAGGAGGAGTTGAAGGAGGGGGAGGGGGAGGAACAGAAGAAGGAAGGAAAGAGAGCAGAGGGGGGGGGCGAGAGAGTGTTTGCCATGGCCAGGAGGAAACGGATAAAAGCAAGCTAAACAGATGATCATGTGGGGTCCTTCAGTCGGAATAATTTTGAAGCACCCTCACAATTCGAGGATCCGAGATGCTGCGCGCAAGGCGGTCCAGCCCGACTCGCCTGAGACATCCTCGCATCTCCGGGTTCCTTGTAGATGTGCGCGAGTTGGTCCCGCGCGCTTCGCCTCAAACATCGTCGCAACTCTGGACCCTCAGGACATGTGCGCGAGGTGGTCCGGCGCGTCTCGCTTGAGACATCCTCACTGGGCCCCGAGATCCCGCGCCAGAGGTGGTCTGGCCAGTTTCACCTGAAACATCCTCAACTCTGGGCTCGGAGCGGGAGAGCCCCCGTCCTCCACGGCCCTCAGGGATTCGACTGCCTCTCGGGGCACATGCCTGGGGCCAACGACATGACCCGCAGTTGGCACGGGTTTCTCGCCATCGGTGGGGGCACCTCTCAGGGGCACGGCGCCTCGCCCACCATGTCTATCAGCAATGTCAGCGAGGTCCCCTGCTGACTGAGAAGAAGCAACATTCTCCTGGGACCTGGGACCAACCGGAACGGAAACGCCCTGGAGTTTCGGGCGGGCGCCAGAGGAAATCCGCCTCCAGGCAGAATGGGTGCTAGCGTTTGAGGGGGGGGTTTAAACATTCTCGAGCAAGATTGCTCACCATGCCGTGGCCTGAGTAGGCCTTGCAACGCAGGCATACGGCAAGCGCAGCACCATCAGAGCACTCGAGAAATTGCGGTGCAATCTGGCCAGATTTGGGGAGGTCTAGCTCGTGGAGACGTCAGCAATGGCCAGGCGGCGGCACATCGACGGAGCGGGAGACCTTCCAACGCGCCTCGCGACGCCAGACTTTAAAGATCCAAACCCAGCGGTGCGCGACGAAGTCGGCTCTGGGAACCGCGGGCGGCTGGATCCGCCCCATTCCCTCTCCACGAATTCGGTGGCCACGGGGCAGCAGCTTCGCCGCCAGAGCGCCCGCAGTTCTGGCGAATCGCAACTCCTTGTCAGTTGCCTCCGCTAGGGGCAGGCCAGGCTGCGGGCGGGACAAGGCCGCAACCTTCGCAGAGGCAGGCACCCGCGAGGTTGTTGCCAAGCCACTTAAACTTCTCTTCATTATCAACGGCATCAGCCACATCGAGATGCGCCCTGACTTTGCAGACCGTCACACTCTGCGGATTCTGAAGAACAAGCTGTGCACATACAGCGCACAACTGCTTGCGGCTCGTCTGTTTCACCCAAGACAACCTCACAACCTCGCGCACTGAAACAATCAGAACTCCGTGGAGCTGCCTCGTAAATGCCCAGCGGCCGCCGCAAACGCATGATATTCAGCGCTCTGGGGGGCGTTGAGGGTGGGGGGGGGGCCAGACGGGGCCCCTGACGCGGATGACGTCTTCACGCGCATCGCGGCTGAGCAACGCGGCGGCCCGTCCAGCTCTGCACAACTCGGGAATCGCCTGCTTGAAGCAGGACCCGCCCGCAAAAATGCACCCTTGGAACTCCTCGCTGCAGTCCAAGTGCTCATCGCCATTGCACAACTCGGCGACAAATCCTCCGCCTATAGCACGCCGCGGACCGACCTCCCCGGGGGGTAGAAAAAAAAAAACGCCCATGGAAGCCAGCACGTCATCGGCTTCCTCGGCCCAGTCTCTCACATTAGATAGGATGGACTCCGCTCGCAAATCAGCGCAAGCTGAGCATCGCCATAACCAGGGCCTACGCGCGTCCTGAGCTTCGCCGCACGGCTCGTCAAGATCACTGATCCGATTCCCCATCGCCCGAGCTCTGGATCTGGTGTAGATCGCGCGGCAGAAAAACTATATCATGCATCCCTTAGCGAACGGGGTCATCTTCTTTCTGCGAAGCCAGGACATAACGCCGTTGCAGCACGATCGGTCAATATTGAGTCCAGCGCCCACTCGGGCGTAGCACACTTGGTAAGAGAGCGCTCCACGGCCGGGGGCATTTGCCAGGTGAGCGTCGCCCCCTCGATCATCCCTCAAAAACGTGAACGAAGGCATGGTCCAGGAAATCCTTTCGCGGCACGTGCGAATCGCACTGATGGGTCCCGCGACAGACTTCCAGAGGCTCGAGCCACTGGATAAAACAGAATCCCAGCACTCCCTAAGCGAGGACACAAGGGTGGAATAGGGATGCGGACGGCGATTGGTGATCCAAACTTCCGTCGCCATGCGACCGACGCGCTCCAAGCGGGAACGTCGTGGCACAGAATGAGCGCCGTGAGACTCCTGCTCTGCGCGCTTGCCCCCTATCGCCTTGCCCGCCAGCCGCCTTCGCTGGCTGAGCTCAAAATCAGAAACGCCAAATGCCCCGCGACCGCTGGCATTACCTAGAATGGGGGCCAGCAGCAAAACATGCCCTGCAGCCCCGCCCGCCAATGGCAGGTCTGTTCCTGACCAACCGCCGCGCGCGAGCTTTAGCCTTGCGCAATCCGGCCTCAGTCTTAGCTGACCAACCAGCAGCGGGAGGAGGAGGCGGCGCCATGACTGCGGGGTGCGGGCAATGATCCGTGCTATCACCGCAGGAACTGCGGCGCTCAAGCTAATACGCAAAGTGGCACAGCACAAGAACAGACTGGCAAGGAGCAGCCTGAGCCAGAATGAACTTTATGGAGGAAGGAGGAGGAATCCGAAGCCGAAGAGGAGGAGCATTCCGAGGAGGAGGCGGAGGAGGAGGAGGGAGAGGAGGAGGAAGAGGAAGAGGAGGTGCACTGCGAACAGAATGAGGAGTACGAGGAATACAAGGAGTAGCACGGCGAGCAGGAGAAGGAGCAGGAGCAGAACGATGACGAGGTAGAGGATGAAGAGGAGGAAGAAAACGACGAGGAATAGCACCAGGAGCGTGAGGAGGAAATCGTATGAGGAGGGGGACGAGGAGACGTGAGATGAGGAGATACAGGAGGAGGAGGAAGAGAAGGAGATACAGGAGGAGGAGGAACAGGATGGGTAGAGGAGAAGGAGGAGGAGGAGGAGGAGGACCAAGAGGATCAGGATGAGGAGGATGACGAGGAGGAGGAGGAGGAGGAGCTGGAGGAAGAGGGATGAGGGAGAGGAGGTGTAGTGGAAGGAAAAGGGCGAGGGCAAGCAAGAGAATTACGCGGATGCGGGGGATGAGGACGACGACGACGACCACGAAAAGCTAGACGACGCCGAAAGCGCAGGCGGATCAGAAGCAAAAGAACGAATGAACACTCTAGGAAACCACCTTGGCTCAAAAACCGTTGCTTGGGGATATTGGGCACTGGCTATAATCATATTATTATGATGCTTCTTCGAGTCCCGCCGCCAGCCTCGGCCACGCGCCCAATGGCAGCAGGCCCCTCCTCGTCCTGAATATCCGACAGTGTGATTTTTTTCAGTGCGCGGCTCTACAGAGATCCCGACTCCTCCCCCCTTCCCCTGGGAGGGGGGGGGGCTTCGCCGCTTCGCCCCTGGCCGAATCATGAGGGTCCCAAGGCCCGAAAATGGGCCCCAGGGTCGGGGACTTCCAAAAGTGGGGCGCGGAAGAGGGGGGCGTGGACGAGGTGAGGGCCAGGGAACGCCCCGAAAGAATAAGACGAAGAAGACGAATCAGAAGAAGAAGAAGAAGACGAACAAACAAATCATCTACTCGCACGTGTGACCCTAGGCAACAAACAATCAATTTTCGGGGGCCGCGGGGAGGCCGAACCGGAGCGCGCAAACCGCTGATATCGCATCGCACTAAAACATCTGAGGACCCCAGTGCGCCCGCACCAAACGTCATTCCGGCGAAAAGTCACTCTCACAGGTAGTCGAACAAAAAGAAGAGCGAGACATGACAAATGTGAGATATCAAAGCCCCGGCCGTGACCTCCGCACACCCCTTGTCCTCCACCCCCGGTCTGGACGCCCCCGACACGGGCAGAGACCGCGGGAAAACGCAGGACCCGAAAGCACCACACCGTCGGAGGCCCTGGCCCTCCTCTGGTCCTCGGCGTCCTCGCCCTGCCACCACGCGAGCTGCTCGCGGGCGGCCGACCGCGGGGCCGCCAGTGGCCGAACCTTTCCGGGTGCCAGGCTTCGAGCAGGGGCGATGGAAGGTCGGCGCACCCCTTCCGAGGAGGAGTGGAAAGAGGAGCAGGAGGAGGAGGAGGAGGAGGAGGAGGAGGAGGAGGAGGAGGAGGAGAGGAGGAAGACGAAGAGGAGGAGGAGGAGGAGGACGACGAAGAGGAGAGGAGGAGGAGGGAGACGAGGAGGACGAGGAGGAGGAAGACGACGATGACGAGGACGACGACGATGAGGCCCTCAGGCCCCGCGGAAAACAGCGGAGGGCCGCGCCCCCACATGCTCTCTGGCGCTCTCCATGGCCCCAGGACAACAAAAAGCGAGGGTCAGGAGGGTGTAAGCCGAGACCCTGCTTAGGATGACGTCGTAAGCGCATCACAGTATACCAGAGCTTATCCGTTACTGAAGGGCAAGAGTATAGATGAGAGACAAGACATGATACAGAGAGATGAACCGTCGGAGGATGTGGCCGTTATCCGACGGTCAACTTCAATGGTACCTCGCTCTCGCGAGGCCGTCCACTAGGATAGCGTTATCGTGAGCCAGATAGCGGCGGATGAAGTCAAGACGCTCGTTATGCCCACCTTTGCCCCTGTCCTTGACATACCTTCGAAGTCAGGAGGGAAGGAGACGAGCGTCAACCCACGTCAAGATTAAAGAATGCAACTTCTATAGTAAAGGGGCAGAATGTAAAGGGGCAGAACCGTTTTTCGACGGCCCAACCTGTGCAGAAGTCCAGGTCAGATGAGGGCAGCGCAGAGTATTATGGTCGGCCATGGACAACCCGCATGACCGACTGTATTTGAAAAATACATGGATACACTGCTTCGAGCTGTGAGCCAACCTGAATTAGGGGGATGCCTGACCAAACTGTCAGGCATCAAAGCGTGCGATGAAAGTAATGACGTAATGCTCGTGTCCGAGCACACGCAGGCCATAATGAAGCCCCGCGCATTCAGTAGCCGCTAGCCCAATAAAGAGCACGGCTATGTCAGTAATACTCCGATGCCTTTGTATGGTGCAGATCGTTGTGCCTCATACTTGAGTGAGTTTATACCTCCCAATGTTTGCAGTAGTAATTCACTGACAATACAGCCTTCTGTATGACAGCCGGCCGTCATATCACGTGTATCACACCACTGCGCGCAATGAACGATTCCTCGGTCAATCCTGTGTCGGACGCAGCTGATCTGTCCTAGCAAGGCACACGCAAAATGTTTCCCTGGGTCCTTCCTCGGATGGGACTTGAAGACCGATTCGGCATCTATGGTGAGGATAGCTTTAATGTTTAGACCACCTATCTCTAAGGAATTCTTGAGATCCGCAGGTCTAAGTGGCCCAGCCTCAAGCTCGTGTAGCGTCGCAATCGTAGGACATAGTCTTCTAAGTTACGGGCTGCTACTAGGATTTCAGCTGGGTAGCTGGAACGCACCTGCAAGCGGTGCGACTTGCAGCGCGCGGGTGCACTGCAGCCCTGCCGTTAGGCGCGCGCCCGCGCAACAAGAAGCTGGCCCCTCGAATGCCGCGCCCCTCAACTTAGTCATCGGCTGCGCCGTTAAAGTTAAAGCGACGAGACCTGGAGGCGCCACGTCGGTCCACTTTTTCCGATCGGAGTCATGACTTGATATGTTAGATTCGTTGAACCATATTGTAAATTGCGCGTTGCGGCATTGAGGCTTCGCACGCGTAACTGGGTTGGTTCTTGGACACGTTGCAGAGACGCCACATAACTCATAAACCACACCTGCGTGATCAGCGCATATGCCAAAGCACCGCGTAGGCCCCTTTTCGTCGCCTTCTCTTCGGCTGCAGCGCAAATTAATTCCGGGCGCTGTGCGGGGCGAAGTCCACTGACGCATTCGTCCTGTTCAAGCTGGGCGCGACCGCCCTCGCGCACGGAGCAGCTGGCGCCGCTGTGTTCGTTGAGTTGGCATGCGCCGAACGTGTTTTCTACGCGCCCCACGCATGTGTCAATCGTGTCCTCGACACCTGCCAGATAAATATCGCCCACGTGCAAGGCCGTGAGAAGGCTCGGGCCTCTCGCAGATTCCTCGGCGCACGAGGTCGGCTTGAGCCCGCAATCTCGCGATGGTCGTAAATTTCACTGAAATCACCCCGGGGGCGCCCACGGCGCCTGCGCCCAGCTTTAGGCACTGCGAGCAGTTCTTAGATTCGCCATGAGACGCGAGGCCCGGCAGCGCGCGCAGCACCGATGCTGGACCGGACGGGAGAGCGAAGCACGCCACGCGCGCTCTTCCCCCCCAGCAGCCGCGGCCAAGTCACGGCAGGTCCGACCTTTCAAGAAGGCTCCATCGATATCAGTATAAGACAAGATCCACGACTTCTTGCACGCGGCCGCGCTCGCGAGCAGTCTCTGACTGGCATGGTGAGCTGTGCCTGGGAAGGCTCTACATCGAAGGCTTCGACATCCATGGAGCCGCCAGGGACCAAACGAAGTCTGACGGCACGTTCAATCTCGCCTTCTGTCAGTCTTCACGAACTCCCATGTGCGCGCACATCTAGGTGCCATGCTATGTGTGGCGTTTTGGATTTCCTTCGTCTTGAAGCACTCGTTGTCATGCCACAGTTCAAAGTATGTGCACTAGGTGTGGGGCATCTTGGCCGCGCTCGCCTGCTAGCCGGGAGGTCGTCTTCCATGACGACCACGGCTCTCTTGGCCGCGGCTGACAGATATACGCGCGCAGTGGCCATCTGGCCGCCACGGAGAGAGTTGCGTCACTGCTCCGCCAGAACAACTTTAGCCACGTCGGTAGTAAAGCAGAGCTCTCCACACTGACCTGGATCGTCAAATTCCGAGTCATCTGCTTCGCCATGTTCGGCGATGCGAGGAACAAGGATTGCCTCGCCAACATCATCGTTGTAGCCGCAGTATGCTTCATGTTAGCGCCCTTGCTCTTCGCTGGCTACAGTCACTAGCACGGTGTGTTCAGCGATGATTTTCGTGGGTGCCGACTGCACGGATTCGAATGAGGTTCTCTCCCATAGTCCCTTATAGTCTTGGCGTTAAATGCACCATGCTTCCAGGATATGCGAATCTAAGTCCATCTCAGGTTCCTCATTCGTGGTCGGAAGCCTTCCATCAAGCGCGGCTGGAGCTAAGGGTTGTTCCTCCTCGCGAGCGTTGACGCCCGATGACGGCGCGCCCAGCAGCTCCTCGAACTCAAATTGTTTTTGGTCGAAGCCTGCTAAAGGTCTTGAGAACTTGAGACGGCGGATGACACGCGCGCGCGGCCCCAGTAATGTCGTGAATATGAAAGGCTGCGACTTCGGATTCGCAACAGCGACAAATCCTGGCGCGGCGTCGCTGTCGTAGTATACCAGGGCGCAGCTGTCAGCACACGGCGCAGCAGGTAACCCGTGGATGCCTTTAACCAAGCGTACTATCACTGCTTCTTCCAGTCAGAAGTACTTTCTGAAAGGAAACTGCAAGGCTATGCGCACACTAGGCCAGAGCCTGCTCGCCACGGTCATCCGCGAGTTTCCCCGCTTGGTCGGCTGGTAGCCGAATCCCGTGGCAAGCACCCCCGCAGGCAACCTCGCGACGAAGGCCAGAACCGCGCGCGAGGCCGTTGCATCGGAGACGATCTCGCGGACAATGAATCCTTCCAGGCACAGCGCGCAGCGCAAGTCGGGATATTGAACGAGGACTTCACAACCGCCGACCTGCACTACAGCTTGACCCCGGTCAAGGCAAGTGCGCGCGATGGGGCGCGGGCCGTTCCATCCGCCCCCGTCGTCCTTTTCGGCGGTCGGACGGCGGTCCAAGTTATCGCCAGGCTGATAGTTGTGGTGTCCTGCTGCTGTCGTTTTGGTACGCAGGGCTCTGTTCGCCCCAGAAGCTACTGACGCGGCTTGTGTAATAGCCTCGGCGCTTACCTCCCTGCCTCGCAGTCTGACGTTCCCGCCCCTTGCTCGCGGTCTAGCACTGGGAGATCTGGAAGGCAAGCTGGCCATCAGCCGCGCGACGCCCGGCATGGCGACGCGCCGCTATAGAACGCGGGCGCGCAACAGATAAACAAGCCTTCGCACTGTAAGCGCGGGACCATCATAAGGATGCGGCGACGCTTGAATTCCTCACCTCTCCCAGTGTCTAGGATCGTCGCAGGAGGTTTTTTTTTTTTTTATGGAACTTTTTTCACTGGGGTCGGGGTTCCCGTCGACGCTGGGGGCAGTTTGCGCGGCTCGCAACATAGCAACGCCATTCAGCGCGCGCGGGGGCGCACGCGAGCACTCAGAAGCGCGCAGCTACTGGGAGCGACGCCCGCAAGCGGCCATGCGAGACCACGGGCGCTCACAGGCACGCGGAAGCACTGGCAAGCACTCCCGCGCGTTCACATATTCCCAAAAAGGTCGGCGAGACTTCCACGCGCGCCCACGAGCACCCGCAACTGATCACGAAGCGCCCGCGGGCGGTCGCAGTCGCGGGCACGCGCCCAAAGGCGGCCACACAAGCGCAGAAACGCCCGCCGAAACCTTCCCCGTATGCACTGCTCCGCAGGCCCACTCGGAAGCCTCCGCCCAGCGTCGCGACTAGGGGGGCACGTAGTGAGTCGGGCGAATGTTTCTCAGCCTTGCCGGCCGCCCTCGGCACCCCTGCGCGCGCTGGCAAGGGGCGTTTTTAAAACAGACAGCTTCCGGAGGCCCATCGACCCCCAACGCATATTGAACTGCTGATGAAGGGGCCTGAGCGTGTTCCAACATTTACAAGAACGTTAGGTCGCAGAGGGGGGCCTTGGCCACACACGGCCAAAAATAGATGCTTGGGCCTGTGAGTTAACATATAATATGCATGGGCAAGGAAAAAAATGACGCATACGCCGGTATAGAGAAATATACATGCATGGGCGGGCGTACATAACGATATGCACAGACCAGAGTAGCACGACAACTGCGCACAGGTGTACCCAGAATGTGGCGACATTTTCCCAGCCGCCCATGTACGCAGAAGGCCTCGCTCGGGCATTGCCTTTTGGAAG